CATACAAGCTGCCGTTCTTCACCATAACATCGCATCTGGAGCCCTGAGGGGAAAAAAATCATACATATGAGCATTTGCACATTTTTGCATCAAGTTAAAACATTCCAAAGCACACACAAAAACAAGATTGCACTGAATAAAAACACTGAATGTGGGTTTCCTACTCTTACAAATTCTGCCCAACAAGTTTGATGGCAAGTTTGACATCTATTTTATGAAGAATAGGGGCCTTAAAGTAAAAGTAATAATAAAAATTTTAAAAAAGTTGACAACTTTTGACAACTTGCCTGACAAATGTGTTATTGCCTATCCAAGTTTTAGAAAAAACAAATAATAATAACTTGACCTCTCGATCATTTGGAATCAGAAGTGGCTTATATGAAGGCAAAGGCCTCTAGATTACGCTTATTTTACCCAAATAAAATATGATCATGCCTTGATTTTTAATTATTTAATTAGGACAGTACAGTCTGACTTTGCTTAGACAAATGTCTTGTCACTCGACTTGAATAATGTACAGTATAGAATAGTTATGTTTCAGTGGAAAAGGATTGCATTGGAGGACTGCATCCATACATCTCTGCAATGACTCAAATCATTTATTAAATGTCATCTGGAATGGCAAAGAAAGTGTTCTTGCAGGACTCCCAGAGTTCATCAAGATATTTTGGATTCATCTTCAGTGCCTCCTCCTTCATTTGACCCTAGACATGCTCAATAATGTTCATATCTTGTCACTGGGCAGGCCAAACTCAGGAGCACCTTGACCTTCTTTGCTTTCAGGAACTTTGATGTGGAGGCTAAAGTATGAGAATAAGCGCTATGCTGCTGAAGAATTTGCCCTCTCCTGTGGTTTGTAATGTAATGGGCAGCACAAAAGTCTTGATACCTCAAGCTGTTGATGTTGCCATCCACTCTGCAGATCTCTCGCACACCCCCATACTGAATGTAACCCCAAACCATGATTTTTTTTTGTTCACCAAACTGCCCATGCAGGTTCCAATATGTATTCTGCAGTGCCTGTGATGATTGGGATGCAGTTCAACAGATAATTCATTGGAAAAATCTACCTTCTGCCACTTTTCCAAATGATCAACAAGAAGTCAAGTTATTACTCGACGCTCGTACAACTGAGATAGACGACAAGACTTTTGTCAAGTAGTGTGTTGTCTATCAAATATATAATTTATATTTTTATACAAAAACTCACCACGACGGCTGTGAGAAAATGGAGCATCCGGGAGTTGTTGTACACACCTTCAAACACCTACAAATATAACAAGTTATTTTAGTGGTCGAAATATTTAAATATTTGAAAATGCAAGATACACAAAGGAAATTACGTACAGGTGGTGACTGTGAAGGAGTCTTCACGGAGTTTCTGTTTCTAAAAGGGAAAAAAAGTCAAACCAATACCACAACATTAACATATTAATCTTTAAAACATACATATGTGTATTGTAACAAATCAATGATTTCAATGGTTACTAAAACATGGAAACTATCAGAAAAAAACAATCAGAAATGTAGACATTAAACACTAATTTTACTTATAAACTAATAAATGTTTACGAAATCCCCCAAATGTGTCGTATATTGAGAGAGACGTGAAACACAGACCGGTGTTGCAGGTATTGCTCCTCTGTTACATGTATGAACAACAATTACAACACCGCTGAGCGAGTCGAAAACAAAAGGACAACCACACACGAGTAACAAAATGACGGTCGGGTTGAACCCCGTTGCGTATCAGGACAAAATATGATGTATTAATGCAAATGTGTAAACAATAGCAGTCAAGCGCGTGTTTTATTTACGTCAGACCGCAAAGCGGGTTAGCAACACAAGCAAACGCCGTGCCGCAGACAGGACAAGACAAACAGCTTGACATTAACATGCGCAAATGTACACATTCCGTGCCCGTCGCTACAATAAACCAAACCGCTAATTACAAACGAGTGTTTCTACTTTTTTGTCACATGCATCCCGGCTCCTCTTGGAAGGCGTCTGTCTAAAATGGCTCAAGTTGAAAGTCGAACACAATACTGAATCATATGGGATCGAAAACAACAACAAAACACTGCTGATCCCTTCCCACGACCCGCCTTCGATACCACTTATAGGCTACAAAACATGCCAATCTGTTATAACCTAAATCCTATTGGTTGAAAACACTCTCGCTGGGTGGGCATGAATTGTCGACGACAATTCTCTCCATCATTGGCCTGCAAATCTGCCAATCAAACTCTCTGCACGGCGATTGGCTGTTGCTCACGCCAATTAAACGAGCCTCGAAATTATTGGCGCTCGTGGAAATAGATTAGGAATGCGCTAGGAACACGCCCACTTTGACCGGTAGGCCTCGTGTTAAAATGACAAGCCGCGGACTTTCTGCGCGGGCCAGCCCGACATGTGCTTTACCTCCCCGGGTTGGGTCTGTTAGAGTTGCTCCCCGGAACGGATGAAGCCATTGACCCTGAAGTTCCATTGGATGTTTTGCGGCCACCGGGTCCAGGTTGCTGTTAGAAAGCACAACCATTCTCAAATGCTGACATAAAACAAGTATTAAACACATTCACGTATATTAAAAAGTCCAGCCGAGCAGCGATGGCTAGGTGGTTTACTAGCATGTTACCGTAATGCGAAAGTGGAAGCTAAAGGGAGGGCGACAACATTTGAAGCATACACGCTTTCATATTTTCAACTGATACGATTTATGTTCAAAAATGACTGCAATTTGTAGATGTGCTACTCACGTTCTGTCGGCGAAAAGACATAACTAGCCGCTAACTGAGTTGCCCGCTAAATTCCCCTTGTTGCCTATGACAAGCTAGTATGTGGACTAGCCTGCCTGCGGTGTTATTTTTGTAGTTTTTCCGCGGCGATTTCAGGTCCGCACGAGCGCGATCTCCGTTAAAGCGCGAAGTCCAGTTCGGTCCGATATTCCGTCGCGAACGCAACACGAAAAGGCAACAAGCCTTATTTTTTCTATTAAATATTACCGGCACCACGTCTCGCGAATTAGCCAGCGATGAACGCGATGGCTGTTTTTTCAAAAACCTTCGACTGTCATTGGACGACACTGTCATACGTCGCGTGATGACGCAATAGCGTACAAGGCCCGTATCACGTCGGCAGCCACACGTACAACATGCTTTGCGAAAAGAATCGTGCTTACGTAAAGATCGATCTATCTATCTATCTATCTATCTATCTATCTATCTATCTATCTATCTATCTATCTATCTATCTATCTATCTATCTATCTATCTATCTATCTATCTATCTATCTATCTATCTATCACGTGTCAGTCCTTCTAAAGAACAATCCATCTACGTTATAAATTATATCTATTCATTGATATATCTATGCTTTTGTAAATAAAGTTTTCTCTATCCATGCTTACCTAAATAAAATTATATTCATCCATGTTCACGTTAATAAAACTATTCATCTAAAGAACATTCCATCTATGATTAAACTATCCGTCTATATATCTGATTTATTAAATAAAATTCTATCATCCATCCATCCATCTATATTCATTGATATGTCTATGCTTACATAAATAAAATTCTATCATAGAAACTATCTATCTATCTATCTATCTATCTATCTATCTATCTATCTATCTATCCATCCATCCATCCATCCATCCATCTATGCTTACATAAACTATCCATCTATGATTTTGTTAATAAAATCATCCATCTATCCCTCCATCTATAGAACTTTTCATCTATGCTTACATTCATTGATATATCTATGCTTACATAAAATTCTATCTATCTATCTATCTATCTATCTATCTATCTATCTATCTATCTATCTATCTATCTATCTATCTATCTATCTATCTATCTACAAATAAAATTCTATCAATCTACTATAAAACATTCTAACAAATGTTTACATAAACTATATTCGAAATATCAATGTTTACGTTGAAAAAATCTCTCTCTGTTTCTCTCTCTCCCACTATCTATCTAAACATTCCATCCATCTTTCTATGCTTATGAAAATAAAATTATATCCATCCATCCATCCAGTCATAATTAAACACAACTCAAGACATATTGTTTCAGTATAATTATATTATATCATATTATTATCATCATCATCATCGTCATCATCATTAAATTCAATGTAGTACCTGAAACTCTAATTACACAGAGTGGGCAAGAGTGTCCACCTTAACACACGGTCCCAGCACAGACAGACAGAGAGAGAGAGAGAGAGAGAGAGAGAAGAGAAGAGAAGAGAAAAGAGAGAGAAGGCACAATAAGAGGTTTAAATAAAAGGTAAAAGTGTGGAGAACAACTGATAGCGAATGACCTGTAGGGGATCAATAAAGCATGAGAGGACAGATCGAGGCACGAAATCAAAGAATGACTGGCACAAAAACAAGAGGGAATGACGGAGAACAACACGAAAAGGCACAAGAAGAAAGGGGCTGTTTTTTTTATCCTTTTTTCCTGAAATCTGTTGGACACCGAAAGCAAAGGAGACAGCAGTGAGATCAGAAGAGAGATATAAAAAGGCACAAAATATTAAGAAACAGATCTTGGAAAAGAAAAAAAAAAAGTGTTTGTGTTCGTATAGTAAACAAAAATAAAGGCATATTTAAACAAACGAAAAAATAAAATAATACTATTATTCTGACAATTATTAAATTCATTAAAAGCATCATCAACAGTTATTATTGTCATATTCATACTCAGTAATTTCGCTTTTAAATGAAGGACGTTCTCCCTCCTCTGGACTGCAGCTTTGAAATAAACGCACCAATAAAAGCAAAGATCGTAAAGCTAAAAGGAAAGATAAAATGTAGACAGAGAGAGAAAGAGAGAGAGAGAGAGCAGAGGAGCTGGGTGACAGATCAGGACTCTGAGGTAATGATGGAGTCTATGGAGATGTTTACTATAGTAATTAACCTTAAAAATAAGTAATACTACCGGACTTCAGATGACTGGGCTTGCTTTTGTTTTTCTTCTGCTTGTTTTTTTTTTTTTTTTTTTTTTTGGCAAAACTTTGTTAAGCCCAAGGTAGTATCTAGCAAAATAATCACAACTGAAAGTAACAGGAAGAATAGTTATTACTTGGTTTTTGTATCGTTGTTTTTTTTTTTTTGCGACATTCGTAGTTTGTCAGTGGCAGAACATAAAGAAATCAACTAAAACGTCTCCAGTATTAATAATAATAATAATATAACAACAATAACAAGAGTGCTGGTGGGTAACAATCTCTGAACAAGTAAAAATTTCAACATCAACAACAACAACAACAAACGACCAAAAAAATTATTTTTTGTATAAGTGCGAAGGGTTAAAGAATACTAGTCATCCCGAGTCCCGACTTGAAATTGCGACTCGTTACGAAATGCTAAAATAAAAACGGTGGCGCTCATGGTCGTACCTTCCTATGCAAAATCAACAAGCACCAGAGGAGGAAACGTTCACACTGACAAACGCTGGAGAAACCAATTAGTAAAAGCCGACCCAACAGTTTCACAATGCACCTCTGATTTAGTGTAGTACCGATACTTTAGTGTTTTAAAAATGTACCGTCAATGTGTATGAATCTCTCTCTCTCTCTCTATTTATATATATATATATATCTCCCTCTCTCGCATGGTGAAAGCTCATGTTTAATAGTGTTAATAATAAATCAGTCAGTTGGAGAATACTGAAAATACTGATTGTGAAGGGCTGTCCTGGTTCTGGGTTCAGAAGAAGGAGTACTGGTTGTCGATAGCTCTCGCTCTTCCTCCTTCGCGCTCTTCTCCCTCCACCCCTTCCAGTTGGAGAAGCGCTGGCTCCCGCTCTCGCTCCTCGCACTCCTCCGCCCCGCTGCTCGCTCCGCCTCCGCCGGCCACCTCAGGCTCGGGTCCGCGCTCCTGGGGCGGGGTTGGGGGCGGGGGGCGTCCTGGAGGCAAGGGTGGAGGCGGCGGTTGGGGAGGACTACGGGGTCTGCTGGTCAAGTCTGAGAATTGCAGATATATAGGATGAGAAAGAAAGAGAGAATTAAATGAGTAAAGGGTGAACACCAGAGTGAGGACTCTTTTCAGGATTTTACATAGTCAAAAGACGAAAGGGGGGTGTGAAATAAAAAATGGCAACGTTTGATGGCGCACATTGTTATTCTTTAGGTCAGAGGTGCCCAAACTAGAGCCAAACTTGATTTGGCCCACCATCTGAGAATAGAGGGAGAATGATGGGGATGGTTTAGAGATTGTTTAATGTAACCCTTTTTTTCGTTTGATTGTAACAAAGTAACTGAAATCAAATGTTTAAAGTGTGTAAATTAGGGATGTCCTGATCAGGTTTTTTTGCCCTCGAGTATGAGTCACATTCACTTGCTTTTGAGTATCTACCAATACCGAATCTGAACCGATACGTCTATAATACATAAAAAAAAAATTAGAGAAGAGCAAAGAAACTGATCAGGATGGAGTCAATTCATTCAGCGGTAAGGCTTAGTAGAGACATGGGAGCTACAGATGAACTCCATATGTCTGTGGTGAACGAAACATGGGGTACATCTTATAACAGGACGAGTAGTCTTCTTATAAAGGGCTGGCAGTGGCTTCCTCTGTGAAATAGTGGAGAGACGGCATTTCAAATAGAGGTTCTACATTTGTTTTCGAGGTGTCTTATCAGGTTTGTTGTGTTAAATATAGCCTTTCCCTTATTATAATGTTTGCTATGGCAATGTTGTCGTCATCAACTTTATAATACCTCCAGACTGCAGACATACTCGCGCTTTCCGCTTCAAGTTGTTTCCGTGTGCTGCTTTGCCGGCATTTAACCAATAGCGTCTCTGCAACAAGGTGTTGTCATGCCGCACACGTTGCTGTTTCTGTGTGAAGTCAAGAAAGAAGTCTAACTCTGTGCCACCGCATAACTATAGATGTCTTAAAAATATATTAAATCGGGAGGTAACGTCCGATTCCGATCGAGTCTGAAACCGAGTGATCAGGCCCGATTTCCGATCAAGTGATCGTATCTGGACATCCCTAGTGTAAATTAATCAGATTTTGTTTAATGTACGCACTGTCACCCGACAAAGCAGAGACCATGGTGGGTAAATCAAGTTAAAGGCATATTCCGCTTGATTAGTGTATTTAGTGTGTTATAAATGTGATTGTTTGTTTTAATTTGCAATGAGTTACCATTTTAAAATTCTATACTGCATTAATTAATATGATTTAAGGTAATGTTTTCTATTTATTTTGAAATGTTATTAAATATATTAGGAAATTACCCATTGCGTTTTTAATGTAATATACTTTGGTATAGTTACCTTTGGCCGACGATTCCTAAAGGATATTTGGATTTTGGCCCTTCATACGAAAAAGTTTGGGCACCTCTGCTTTAGGTGAACAACTAATTCATGCAAGATGGTTCTATAAAAAAATAGTCCATTTTGGTACTCTTTAATAAAAAAAAACTCTTTTCACGTTTTTTAATACAGTTCAAAGATAAAAGAGCAGTGCAAAATCAAAAATTTGTGCACGCACATTGTTATCCCTAGGTTGAACAATTAATCCACGCAAGTTGATTTTATTTAAAAAAAATGGCTTGTTTTGGTAATCTTCATTCAAAAAAAACCCCTAAACAAACAAAAGTGAGGATCCTTTTCACATTTTTACATAGTCCGAAGGCAAAAGAGGTGACAAATCAAAAATCACAATGTTTGCTGGGTCAAACTATTCTTTAGGTGAATAATTCATCTATGAAAGTTAATTCAACCACAATATTCTTAGCCACACCCCTCTTACTGTTAGTTATGAGGCAATGATGCACAAAAATAAAACCATGCCCCCAACTCATTATTCCATTTCAGCTGGACGTAATCAACATAGACTGAAATTGTGCCAGCATGACTTACTTTCTGAAAAAAAAAAAAAAAAAAACGTTATGATCTTTATATTTGCTTTGATTTAGAATAATATTACCTGACAAGTCTTGTCGCCTATCCAAGTTTTAGAAACAACAAATAATAACTTGACTTTTAGTTGATCATTTGGTATCAGAAGTGGCTTATATGAAGGCAAAGGCCTCTAGATTACGCTTACTTTACCAAAAAAAAATATAATCATGCCTTGATTTTTAATTTATTTAATTAGGACAGTAAGGTCTGACTTTGCTTAGACAAAAGTCTTGCTGCTTAATAGGAATAATGTGCAGTCTATAAAATAAAGTCATGATGCAGTGGAAAAAAAAAAATTGTTTACGACTCCCATGAGCTTGGAGGACTGCATCCATACATCACTGCAATGACTCAAATAACTTAATAAAGTCATCTGGAATGGCAAAGAAAATGATCTTGCAGGACTCCAAGAGTTCATCAAGATTCTTTGGATTCATCTTCAATGCCTCCATCTTACCCCAGACATACTCAATAATGTTCATGTCTTGTGATTGGGCTGGCCAATCCAGGAGCACCTTGACCTTCTTTGCTTTCAGAAACTTTGATGTGGAGGCTTAAGTAAAGGGAGCGCTATCCCACTGAGGAATTCCCACTGAGGAATCCCACTGAGGAATCCCACTCTCCTGGGGTTGGTAATGTAATGGGCAGCACAAATGTCTTGATACTTCAGGCTGTTGATGTTGCCATCCACTATGTAGATCTCTCCCACGCCCCCATACTGAATGTAACCCCAAACCATGATTTTTCCTTCACCAAACTTGACAGATTTCTGTGAGAATCTTGGGTCAATGGAGGTTCCAATAGATCTTCTGCAGTATTTGTGATGATTGGGTCGCAGTTCAACCGATGATTCATCTAAAAAAAAAAAACTACCTTCTGCCACTTTTCCAAATGATCAACTAAAAGTCGAGTTATTATTTGTTGCTCTTACAACTGAGATTGACGACAAGACTTTTGTCAGGTAGTATATATCAAATTAGCTCCCTCATTAGCTCCATATTAGAAACACAGTAAAATTACCATAATTGTTCTGTAATTTAATGTCAAGCACAGAAACCACCAAGTACAGCATTATAAATATAAAATTAATAGTTAAAAAGAAAAATATTTCCTAAATTTATATTAATACTAACACATTTTTCAACTCATTTTTACATTTCTAACATCTTTGTCTTTTAAATTATGAGAGTATATATTCTTTTTTCTTGTTATTTATTAGCAATATATTAGTATTCAGCTTAAAGTGTAATTTAAAGACTTAACTAGGTTAATTAGGCAAGTTGGGGTTATTAGGGAAGTCATTTGATAAAAGTTGTTTGTTCTGTATCCAATCGAAGAAGGAAAAAATTTCTAAGGAGACTAACAATATTGACCTTAAAATAGTTTTTTAAAAAATTCAAATTATTTTATTCCAGCCAAACTTAAAAAAATAAAATAAAATAAAAATTAAGAAATACGAAGGAAGAAAAACATCCTTGTTCCAATTAATATGAATTAAGAAATAATTGAAAAAGAAATACAAGCATTTCACAAAAGGGTTATCAAACTGTATGTGTTGAAACAGTTGAAACAATCTGTGAAAAGAGTCTGTAAAATGCAAGATACACAAAAGCTTGAGAAGAAATCTGTGACGCATGCTAGTAATGGAATCACTCCACACATTGCACACAGACTGTTTACGCCCTGCCTCCACTAAACAGCAGTAAAGAGTCATCCGCTGATAAATCATGCCTCATTCATTGCATACAGACTGAATTATCATCTAATCCTGAATCATGTTTACATGGAGACAGAGCTGACGATCTATAAATGTCTGGCAGTAAATAAAAGCTACAATTAACGCAGGTTATAGTGAGCGAGTGATTAATGAATGCGTTACACACACACACACACATACATTTCAGGATGAATGTGTGCGACTGAAACCCAGCTGTGAATGAGGAAGTTAAGCAGACAGATGTGCACTGAAGTGATCGGATGACCTGTCTCCGCTTATATTCTGCCTCATTCTAACAAGCCTCAAAATCCTGTGCTGCTCAAAAATGTTTCTGCTTTCATCTAATTTCCCAGTTTCCTAAGAATAACATGTACACAGATTAGTCGTATAAAGGATTGTTCACCTAAATTACCACATCATTTATAACTTGCTCATGTGGTTTTTAAATCTTAACATGAGTTTCTTTCTACTCTTGAACACTAAGCAAGATGTTTTGAAGAATGCTGGTTGCTGGAACCCATCGACTTCCAATGTGGGATAAAATAAGAATGACTATGGAAGTCAATGGGTACCAGCTACCAACATTTTTCAAAATATCTACTTTTGCATTCAACAGACGAAAGAAGCTCAAATAGGTTTTGATTGAACAAGTGAAGTGTGAGTAAATGATGACAGAAATGTCATTTTAGGGTGAACTATCCTTAAAATATGGTCTTATTATGTTAACAGGACGTTTTATATTTGTATATTTTGAGGAAATGTTGTAACTGTTTACCTCTGAAATGACTCATTCCATTCAAATATTGAACAAAAAATATATAAATAATTTTAAAATTAATTCTGCAAATGTGTTGGATTGAGCAAAACCCACAAGACTTTTGTAATATGACAAAATAATTCAAATAAATTGAGCTTTTTTAAAGGGATAGCTCACGCAAAAGTGAACATTTAAAAATCACCATTAACACTATGTCCAAACAACACGTGACAAGATTACAGCGATAAGCAACTTGTCTGTCTGCAGATAATGCAACACGACAGAAACATTTAAATTCCAGGCACTAATCTTTAATTAATTCAATACACTACTTGACAAATGTCTTGTCATCGATCCCAGTTGTAAGAGCAACAAATAATAACTTGACTTCTAGTTGATCATTTGAAAAAGAGGCAGAAGGTAGATTTTCCCAATGAATCATCTGTTGAGCTGCATCCCAATCACAAATACGGCAGAAGACCCTTTGGAACATGGACCCAAAATTCTCTCAGAAATCAGTCAAGTTTGGCGAAGGAAAAAATCATGGTTTGGGGTTACATTCAGAGCAAGAGATCTGCAAAGTCAACGATGGCAACATCAACAGCCTGAGATATCAAGTCATTTGTGAGGCCCATTACATTACAAACCACAGGAGAGGGCAAATTCTTCAGCAGGATAGCGCTCCTCCTCATACTTCAGCTTCCACATTAAAGCTTCTGAAAGCAAAGGTCAAGGTGCTCCAGGATTGGCCAGCCCAGTCACCAGACATAAACATTATTGAGCATGTCTAGTGTCAAATGACGAAGGAGTCACTGAAGATGAATACAAAATATCTTGATGAACTCTGGGAGTCCTGCAAGAATGCTTTCTTTGCCATTCCAGACGACATTATTAATCAGTTATTTGAGTCATTGCAGAGATGTATAGATGCAGTCCTCCAAGCTCATGGGACAATATTCATTCTTTTCCACTGCACTATGGCTTTATATTCTATACTGTACATTATTCTTGTTAAGTGACAAGACTTCTTTCTAAGCAAAGTCAGACCTTATTGTCCTAAATAAATAATTAAAAATCAAGGCATGATCATATTTAGGTGAAAAAAGCATAATCCTTTGCCTTTCATGTAAGCCACTTCTGATAGCAAATAGAAGTCAAGTTGTTATTTGCTGTTCCTAAAACTTGGATAGGCGATAAGACCTTTGTCAGCTAGTGTACATAATACATCTTTACCATTAATAGGCTACTGAGTGACTGGTGTTGTCGGTTCAAACTGAGTCACAGTTCTGATTTTAAATTTGAACCATCTACTAGTTATTTTATTTTCAACATCTGAGGTGGTCAGTAGTATGGCAAACGTAAAATGGCATTTAAACTCACATTGGAAGCATTTGACACTGAAAAAAGCCCATAATCAGTACCTGGGGTGATGTTTTTCATAGTAGTTTATGCTGTTATTCTGCCGTGATGTGAACAGAAAGCAATTCTAAAATGAACATTTTATGCGTCAATATCGCATTTGGTTAGGACAAAAACTCCTTTTAAGATGGAAAAGATCATTTTTATCGTGAGTTTTGTTGCTGTGCTGCATATTGTAACAATATGGTGTTAATCACACTCATGAGTTTTTTTTAGTTTAATGAATACATACAAAGACATTTTGAAGAATGTTAGAAACCAGTTGCACTATACTATGGAAGTCAATAGCTACTGGTCTCCAACATTCTTCGAAATATCTTCATTTGATAGAATTAATAGAAAAATGAAACTCAAACAGGTTTGGAACAAGTGAAAGGTCAATAAATGATGACAATTGTATTTTTTTGGTGAACAATCCCTTTAAATTTCAATTCATCGCAGAATCTTTAACAAGATTAAATGCAAACATAGCAAAAAAAACTAAAGTGTACCCAAAAAGTACACAACTTCTCATAGAATTATTTTTTAAAAGTACCAATTTATCAACATTTAATTCAAACAAAATTAAACCTCAGCAAACATCATTTAAAAAAATAAATAGACCTCAAACTTTTTGACTTTTTGCATAAAATTGCTTGTAACTACTTCATATGTTTTATATGACCATTTTCCCCCTGTTCTGATATTAAAAGTTTTGATTTTAAGCACTTCAGGAGTTTTGTTTTAATTAACTAACCCCCATGTACACATTTTATTTCCTTCTCTGTCTCTCTCTCTCTCTCTTTCTGTTGAATCTGGTCTCACTTACACACAGTCAGAGATGGGGGTTGATGGAGAGTCGGGGTGGCGCGTGGTGATGACATCACAGACTGTGGGGCGGCTGCCTGCCCTTTCCCGGCCTGCGAAGATGACCCAACGACAAACAACAACAGAAACAGCCAATCAGAGCTCTGATATGCATTATGGGGAAGGCCGGAGGGTGAAGCGGGAGGGCGAGAGGAGCAGAGAAACGCTATGAATTAGTGTGAGACTGGAGGATAGAAAGAAATGGATTATACCAATGAAGGATAGTAGGGGAAGAATTGTAGAAAAGATGCAAAGAATGAATAGTACAGATGGAGCGCAGTGAATTCTAGTCCTCATAACCCACTGCTCTTCATATTTTGCATGTTATATAATTGTTATATGTTATTTAATTTATAAACTAGCTCAGTTTTTTTATTTGGTATAAATTAAATTTTAAAAAAATTTATTACATGAAAAAGTGTATTTATTAGGTAATTTAATAAATAAAATACATAATTCTCTTTACAACTATTTTTACATTACTGTGATGGTTAAGTTTAGGGTTGTGGTTGGTGTAGGCATTAATAAACTACAATTAATGGGAAATTTAATAAATAATATAAATAATTTTCCAGCCGCAACCATATCTGATCTAGCAACCACTAAAAAGCAGGTGTCAATCTGCTGTAAAGGCGGAGCTTATCCGTCTTATTACATCATAGATTAGAACATTCCAAAACCTGTCGTTTTGCAAGACTGCCTTTAATATAAGCTTAAGTAACTACAACATTTTGAGTTCTGAAAATGACAGAATGTTTTCATAGTTAATATTCAAGTTTATTTGTAGAGCGTTTTTCACAAGCAGCTTTACAAAAGGTGCCTGTTATTAAACTACAACCGAAATGACAAAAAAATTATAGTGTGAGTAGGGTGGACAGTACAGTTGCAAACAAAGGCAAGCAGTTATCTGCGTATAATGGGCAACGGTTTATAATATTTCAATTCAAAAAGTCAAGTTTTATTTTTATTTTTTTTCAAAATATTGTGTTTTAGTGTTTTATAACAAAGAGTCTGGTGCATATAGAGAGGACCACCTGTTTCCTACAGGTGGTCTGTTAAGTTTTATGGTAGGGCTGCATATCGGAAAAATCTAATATTGCAATGTTTTTTTTTTTTTTTGCGATATGAATATAGTTTCACAATATGGTCTGAATATAAAAGCTCTATTTGATAATTTTCTGGGGTTTTGTTTTCACCTTTTGAAGAAACCATTCAAAATGAAGAGTTTTTTTTAAATAAGCAAAATTATCTCCCACTGGGGTAAGTAAAATATTCTTATATTCGCCTTAAAATCTAAATATTTGGACTAGAAACAAGGCTAAAATATATATATTTTTCTCCATAAACAAAATTCAAAATAAAATTCATCTTTGTTCGACCTATAAACATGATTTTTATTTTACACTAAATATTGCAAACTCTCTTTTTTAGCTATTTAGACTTCGTGATTAGTGTACTGACTACTGAACATAAGAAGTGAATCGAGACACACCCAAGTGTTCATTGATCCCTACTTCCTGAGCTCAGGAAATCTTTACTTCAGAACCATTCATGGATTTGAAACAAACAACTAAAGTAATACGAGAAACATTCAAAATGCGCAGAGCAGCGGGGCGCAAGGACCAGAACTGAGAACCTTTGCTTTTAAAGTAATGAAGAGAAGATTCAAACGGAGGCCATGATTAGAGAAGGTGAGCTGAGGAATGTTCTGAACATTTCAGGAGAAGTTTAAAGAGGTCATAAGCACAGAGAAATTAAATTAAAAGACAGTTATTGTCAAAAAATAAATAAAATAAAAGCAAAGCCATGCACATCAGACTCTGGCGTAGCAGCAATGGATCTGCGTGCACAAATAGTCATAGCAGATGCAAAGTGTCCTTTTCAAAAGCATGCCGTGACAGGAAGTGATCTCACACAAGGGGTGATCCCACATTTAGTCAGATCTCTGTGACAGGTGCAAACATCTCGTGCAGTGGCCATGTTGTTTATGAATACACACGCGTACACAAATATGATCACTCTCAGATTCATCCCACTCACATGACCCACACACACACCAGCTGGGTGTTAAAGACTGTGTGTGTGCGCACTAAAATATTACCAGTTATGCTAAACAGCTTCTAAGAAACCTTGTCTTTTTCCCTTTTATGGGTCAACCAGTATCTCCCCCAAAACAGCTGTTTTACCATTTATTAACCGTGGGGAAAACAAGTACTGAACACGTCACCATTTTTCTCAACAAACGTAATTGTAAAGGTGCTGTTGACTTGAAATTTTCACCAGATGTTGGTAACAATCAAAGAAATCCATATAAGTTAAGAAAACAAAACTAATTAGTCACAAAAAAGTATTGAACACATGAAGAAGGAAGATGTAGAAAGGCAGGGAAAGCCCAGACAGCAGCTGAAATCTCTCAGCAGTTCTTCAGCGACCCTCTGCCCTTCATCATGGTAAATGATTATCAGCTGCAGCATCTACATTAGCAGGATGATGAAGATGAAACCAGGGTGGACATTTCAGCAAGACGATTATCCAAAACACAGCCAAGGAAACTCTTAAAAGCTTTCATAGAAAGAAAATCAAGCTGTAGAATGGTCCAGCTAATCACCTGACTCGAATCCAATAGAAAACACAAAATAAAGATCATATAGCCGAGACCCACAGAACTATCAAGATTTTTACACTCTGTTGAAGTCTGTGAAAAACTCAAACCTGAGCAACAGATGTGACTTCATTCTCCATATGAGAGGCATCTTTAAGCAGTCATCACCAAAAAGCCTTTTATATAAAGTATTAAATACATATCAGTAGTTGGGTACTTTCTGCTTGTGTCACTCCATTGTTATTACACAATTCATTTAAAAAAATTTTGTTGGTTTTGTTTGATTTTTGCGTTTGTATTGTTTGGAATTTTACCAAAATCTGCTTTAATTCCATGTCAACAGCTCCTTTAGAAATATTATTCCCAGGAAAAACATGACATGTTCAATACTTATTTCCCTCACTGTATGTCTTTATGATCAATTGGCAGTATATTAAAATAATCATATAGTCAAATGCAGTCGTACAAAAAGACAGGACTTATCAAACTTATCATAACTACAATTCAATTATACTTGAGGACCTGCGAGTACACACTGGTGAATGCACAGGAAAAAACAAACAGTTAGTCTTATTTCTAGTCAAAATGTCTTCATATTCTTAAATTAAGTTAAAATGTTGGTTAAAATGGTTTGGTTTTCAAAAACAATTTTTCCAATAAACAAGCTATATTACTGGGTTCAATGAAATGATCCTGAATTCAGATTATTTTACCGACTCCACTGCATGGCAGATTATTTAGTTTGTTTTAATAAAAAACTCACTGCAGTTTGACTTATTATTTCCGAAAACAAAACAGTATTTTTACTTGTCTAGAAAGTATTTCTTGATTTAAATTTTTTTAGAAATTTGGACGAGAAATTAGTCAAAAAACTGAATGAATTTTTGCATTGTGCGTTATTACTTATATGCACAGAAGGGATTCACTCTTCTGTGAAACTTAAACATGGATTATAATTAAATTTCACCTTAATAAGAACGCCAATGCTTTTGCAAATAATCTCATTTGGGTTTTATTAATAAATAAATTACCTATAAAGGAGGCTGTTCTCCATGTACTGCTACACTGCAAAAATAAAAAGGTTTTTTTGTCTAGTTTCAAGTGCATATATCTAAAAATTATTAAATCAAGAAGCATTTCTAGACAAGTAAAAAAAATATTGTAATGTTTTAGGAATAATGTGTCAATATTAAGTCAGTTTTTCCCTAAAACAAGTAAAATAATCTGCCAATGGGGCAAGCGAAATAATCTTGTTTTTCCTTCTGGTATAATATTATTTCGTATACATCCACTGGGAGATTATTTAGCTTGTTTTAATAAAAAACTCACTCAATTTTGGCCTACTATTTATTAAAAAACATATGTTTTGCTTGTCTATAAAATGCTTCTCGATTTAAAAGCTTTTAGATATTTGGACTAGAAATTAGTGAAAGACTCAAAATAAAAAAAGCATTTTGGCATTTTGCATCATTACTTATATGCACAGCAGTGATTCACTCTTCTGTGATACTTAAACATGGACTATAAGTGAACTTCACCTTAATAAGAATGTCAATGCTTTCGCAAATCTCATTTGGGTTTCATTGATAAATAAATGACCTATAAAGGAGGCCAATCTCCTTTATGCACTGCAAAAAATGCTTTTCTTATTTTTGGTCTCGTTTCTAGTGCAGATATCGAAACATTCTTAAATCAAGAAGCATTTTCTAGACAAGTAAAACATAAGGTCTTGTTTTAAGAAATTCTATGTCAAAAGTAAGTAAAGGTTTTCCTTAAAAGCAGCAAAATAATCTGCCAAAGGGGTCAGCAAAATAATCTTGTTTTTCCTTCTGGCATAAGATTCTTTAGCTTCTTTTAATGACAAACTCGATAAAATTTGGCCGTTTATCTAAAAAAATTAACTATTTGTTATGTTTGCCTAAAAAATGCTTCTTGATTTAAGAATTTTTAGGTATCTGGACTAGAAACAAGCCAAAAAAATCTAAGTAAGAAACTCATTTTTGGCAGTGTAGGTGATCGACCTGCTATTGATGTCGCAGCTTTGAAGTTTCTAAGCAGTTTGCAATAATCACTCAAAACAGAACAAATAAATTAAGTAAATAATTTAATTTAAATTCTAACACCATCTGCTTAAAAATAATGGTAGCGTTGAAAGGAGATGAGTTAATAAGTAGCAGTGATTAACAAACGGGTGGCTATTTCATGTGGTTATACCATACTACTTCTATTACGCCACTTTTTAGAGGATTCAACTGAAGTCTCATGTGTGAATGTCTGAGATTGTTCAGCTCAAAACACCCCACAGATCATTTCTTAAACCATGCTACCAATTCTTGTGGATTCATTTGACAATGCAAATCATCGACATAAACTATAATATCTGCATGCGTGTTGAATCCTTGAATGCAGTGATTCTTACTGACCTTTACTAATAGGATTTGTGGAATCAAAGTAGTGGCAAATCAAGCATCTATAATAAAAACAGTGTATTTTTTGCTATTATAGGCTAAGTGAATAGTGACAAATAGGTCCCTTTTAATATATAACATAAAATAAAAAATATATATATATATATTATTATCATCATGTATCAATGATTAAAGGCATAGTTCAGCAAACAAATGAAATTTCTGTCATTATTTAATCACCCTTTACATATTTCAAGCCTTTATGATGGTTTTTCTTCTGTTAAACAAAAAAAGAAGATACTTTGAAACATGCTGTAACCATTGACATTCATAGTATTTGTTTTCCCTACTATGGAAGTCAATGGTCCCTAACATTCTTTGAAATATCTTCTTTTGTGTTCCTCATAAAGGTTTGGAAGCACATCAAGATGAATAAATAGCGAGTCATTTTTGCGTGAACTATTCCTTTAAGTATATGAACAGGTCTTGCATATGTAGTCAGCGTGTGTTACATCCTTTTTTTATCCAATCAGCTGTTCTGAGGGAGATGCAAGAGGCACTAGTGGTCACTTACCTGCTCAGTCACAAAACATACATACATACATATCATCTAACAAACCAGATTTCTCTTTTAACCGTGTCTCATCTTTTCTGTTGACAATCCTCATTAGCTAAAGCTGAGCCCCATCCTTTCATACCTGGTTGCCGGACATTTGTAGCCCCCACAAAGCTGATGAGGGTGACATCAGAGGCACCCCCAGACTCCAGGGGAATGGGGTGCACACGGAAATGCTCCAGCATGTCAAAAATAGACTGGAACCAGAGATGCTGCACACGACACTGTCCATCCTCGTTCAGAGAGAGGCGCAAGTGCTGGATGGAAGATGCCAGAGAAGAAGCATGAGGTATTTACTCGCCAAAATGATTTCAAGATGAACATGTAATGCAACTCCTTGTTAAAAGGTACAATTGAAGTCAGAATAATTAGCTCTCCTGAATTATTAGCCCCCTATATATATATATATATATATATATATATATATACATATATATATATATATATATATATATATATAAATATATATATATATATATTAAGGGTGTCACGATCCTCCAAATCCTCGATTCGATTACATTTTCGATTCTAAAGGCACGATTCGATTCGATTTTCGATTATGAATAATTAATTAATTAATGACTAATTAATTATTTGTAGCCTACCGTTTAAACTACCTGACCTGCATAGTCTTTGTTTTACCCATAAACAAATCATACAGTAAATGAATAAAGGCAAGATACACACATAATTACCACCTGTCAATCACTTTTTCTGCGGGACTCGTGAATAGGCAGTGATCTGTGTCGTTATAATGGTGTCGGTAAAAAAGACGCACAACCAACAGGAACCAGCCAACAGTATCTGAGGTGTTCGCTAAAATGACTAAGTACAAGTGAGTGAAAGATTGAAGCAGTCTACTGATCCTCTGACTACCTGAACCAGCTGTCTAGAGCCCATGGCTGTGAGTGCGTCTGTGTCTGTGTGTGTGTGTGTCAGAAGTAGAGAGGAAGGAGGGCTGCTCAGAAATGCTACACGCCACTGTGATTGTCAAATCGTTGTCGTTCTAAAATGCCATTTAAAAACAAAGACAGTGTAAACAGGGCCTGAGTGTGTACTTTTCGCGAGCGGATTTGCAACGGGGGCGGGCGGAGGATCGCGATGCCGGTGTTGTCTATCGGACGAACCCTAATACGTAAATAGCAGAGCTTTTAAAACTGTGTTTTTTTGTCGACAACACGAACGTTGTCAACATAACTCACTGAAAATCCAAAATGCTTACACACCAGCGACTTCATTGAAAGAGGAAAGGGTTTAAGTTCTGTCGACGGGTCTCCTGTATCTGCAGTTCAACAAGCATTTCAACAAGCCTGTTTTTTCCCGCTTGGCAAGCCAAGCTGACGTGACATGGGGGCGTGGCAGCATCGATAATCGAAATTGAGCATAAATTTAGATCGATTTCGATTAAAAATCGAAATATATATATATATATATATATATATATATATATATATATATATATATATATATATATATATATATATATATATATATATATATATATATATATATATATTTTTTTTTTTTTTTACACAATTTTTGATTAACAAAGATTTTTTTTAACACATTTCTAATCATAATACTTTTAATAACTCATCCCTAATAACAGATTTATTTCATCTTTGCCATGATGACAGTACATACTATTTTACTAGATATTTTTCAAGATACTAGTGTTCTGCTTAAAGTGACATTTAAAGGCTTTGAAAACTAATGTTGCTCAAGGCGGCTAATAATTTTCACCTTAAAATGGTTTTAAAAAATTAAAAACGGCTTTTATTCTAGCAGAAATAAAACAAATAAGACTTTCTCCAAAAGAAAAAAATTTTTTTTTTGCTCAGTTAAACATCATTTGGATAATTTTTGGGCAAAAAATAAAAAACTGTACATTACAGTAAGATATTGTTGGTTTATATAATATTCAGTGTTTCCCCTACCATTATAGTAGGCTGGGACCCTGCCCTCCCAACGGCCTTCCCTGCCCCCCTTGTAGTCAAGTTAATTGTATTTTCCAGACCACAACTTCTTTTAAAAAACAAACTAAATAGCCGTATGTGATATCTTATTTACACAATGATATGTCATTTCTGTCTCTACACTGTCGCACATTTACAAATTTCTGCTCTCTGAATCGTGCACAGTGGAATTCCAAGCAGCCACTCTCTATTCTGTATGGGAATGAGAACGCACCACATCTGACAGGACAGATAGTTTCTCAGAAGTTAAATCACTTTAATTTCACAATTGTTGTTAAATTCTTGAGAAAAAAAACAAATTTAGTCACACAGAATGTCGCCTGACAACAATAACCCCCTAAACTGTAAACCTAGGGGAAACAATGAGGCCTCTATTTTGACGGTCCATGCGCAAAGTGCAAAGCGCAGGGCGCAAACGCATTAGGGCGTGTCAGAATCCACTTTTACTAATATAAGGATGGAAAAATCCGTTTTGCGCCGAGGCCCATGTTCTAAAAGGATTAAGCTTATTTTCTTAATGAGTTATAGGCGTGTTTTGAGAATAAACCAATCAGAGTCTCATCTCCCATTCCCTTTAAGAGTCAGTTGCGTCACGCCATAGCGCATTTGCTATTTACATGACGTATAGTAAGTGTAAGTGAAAAAACTGAGCATTTCACTAGCAAGAAAACAGTTAAACAGAGCATGAGAATGACAGATAAGCCTCCTCATTATTAACTTTCAGTTTCAGTTTTGCTAGGGAAACCTTGTATGCACAGACATCAATTAGCCTATAAATAATTAATTTCATGTGTTAAGTGCAAAGATTTGTTTTAAAACTATTTCTAAATTCCGTTCTAATTTGCAGTAAACAAATAAATGAACAATAATAATGAAGTGTGTTCAAAAACCTGAGTTATTTCCTAATACACATGCTGTGCCCCATATGGTCTAAAACCTGACAGGTGGGCAAATCTAAGCTTGTTTTTAATAAAACAAATATAAATATGCATATAATAAATAATACTCATAATAATAATAACATTATACATAAGCAAATTCTCATGAATGAACTGAAAAAGCCTCCCGAGATGAAGCAGTCATGAAAGTATGGTTTTTATATTTATGTAGGCTAGAAAATAATGTTTTGTAATATTTTAATCCTTTATATTTATATCCTATATATATCATTATAATATCCTATATTTATCCTTAATATTTAAATTCTTTTTCATGTGTAAAGATATTTGCGTATTGCTCTACATCTTGTGTGCATTAAGCAGTGTGTAAGAGAGGCGCACAACTAACGCACTCTGCGCTGGACAATAGACCGGCTTTGTTCTGGTTGAAAAATTTATTATAGTTTCTCAAAATAGCAACGCGCCTTAACATGCCTCCTTTTTTAGATGAGAACGCCTATGGGCGCACATAAGAGCGCAAATGCATTTGCTATTTAAACACCGTGGCCCAAAACGTTAAAACGACTCTTGCGTCAAGCTGAAACTAGCAAACAACAATTGCGTCGCGCCTTGTGCCACATTGCGCCAGGTGTATAATAGGGCCCTGAATGTTAAAAGACATTGAAGAGATTATTCACCCCAAAATGAAAATCCTGTTATTGTTCCACTAAAAACTCTAAAAGATTTTGTTTGTAACAAAAGCATAAATTTATAACAAGTGGAGGTCTAGAAAATAACAGAATTTTCATTTTGGGGTGAACTATTGCTTAAAGCACAGGTGTCAAACTCAATTCCTGGAGAGCCGCAGCTCTGCACAGTTTATTTCAAACCCTAATTGAACACACCTGATCAAACTAATTAAGTCCTTTAGGCTTGTTTGAAACCTACAGGTAAAGTGTGTTGAAGCATGGTTGCAACTAAACTGTGCAGGGCAGTGGCCCTCCGTTTAGGAGTTTGGCATCAAAGCGATAGTCCTCCCAGCACTGAAAATTCTGTCATCAGTTTCTCAGCCCTTTACTTGTTACAAACATTTATGAGTTTCTTTCTTCAGTTAAACACAAAAGAAGATATTTTGAAAAACGTTGGACCATTGGACTTGACTATTGTATTAGTTTTTCCTACTATGGAAGTCAATGGTTACAGGTTTTAAGCATTGTTCAAAATATCTTCTTTTGTGTTCAACAGAAGAAAAAAAGTAACACACGATTGGAACTACTTCAGGTTGAGAAAAAACTGAGTAAATTTTCATTTTTTGTTGAACGTTCCCTTTAAATATTTCAAGTATACATGGTACAAAAGGTTTTTCTCTTTATCTTTCTATTTATCAAAGTTCTTACAAAAAAAACGTGTTATAGTTTTTAAGCAAAAAAAAAAAAAAAAAAACATTGTAGTAAACATACGAACATAATACAAGTAACTTTCAAAAAATGATAAGGAGAAATGTTTTTGTTCAGTACCAAATCAGCACATTACACTAATTTCTAAAGGATCACGTGACACTAGAGTAATGATCCTGATAATTCAGCTTGGTCATGACAGGAAACATTACATCATGCAACGACTTACAGAAAAATCTGCTTATTTTGTTTAGTAAAAAAATGCAACATTGATGATATCTTTTAAAAAACTAAAAGAAATCAAATGTAATTCAATAATTCTCAATAGTTTGGGATTTACCTTTGCTTTTCCCTGGAAGTTGAAGGTGAGCACATACTCCCCCCGCCGTGTCTCACTCTGCCGCACGAGAAATACTCCATGACTGGCCATGCCACCCGCCAGCACCAGCTGAGCCGCTTTAAGACGCGAGAGTGTACCGTGAAACCACTGACACTCGCTCAGAGGATGCTCCACCGTCTCAGACACAGACACATCAGAGAACAGGAACGACCCTGTTGAGAACCAAGAACAAACTCAATACCTCTGTGCTTTGTGTATGAAAAGGGTAAGAATCAGTGTCACAAAATTCAATTTAAAGCTTTACCCACTTACATTTTGGAATACAAGGGGTGAAATGTTGATACAGTATCGCTATATTTTCCACGGTAAAACTACAATAGCATATCGATACAGATGCCCATATTGATATATAACCAATATTTTATTAAACTGTCTGTCCGTCCGTCCATCCGTCTATCCGTCTATCTATCCATCTATCTATCTATCTATCCATCCATCCATCCATCCATCCATCCATCCATCCATCCATCCAGAATGTGAATGAGTGCAAGCGTAGGCTGTGTGGATTGTCACCATGTGCAAATTAAATCACGTCACGTTTGACTATTGGCCCTTAACAGTATTTTCAACTAATCGACTTTCTTATGTTTACAATCACTCTTGTTGCACTGCAAAAATGCTTTTCTTACTTTATTTTTTATCTTGTTTCTAGTCCAAATATCTAAAAATTCTAGAAAATGCTTCTTGATTTAAGACTATTTAGATAATTACTAGAAACAAGACAAAAAAATCTAAGTAAGAAAGTGTGTGTTTCAGTGTGGTTGGGGATTGTTTCACACGCAGTGAGCAACGAAAATAAATAATGGCATAGTGGCCAACCTTAATAATATTTGTATTTTCAAAATGGCAAAAGGCAGTCACACATATTCATTTTTTTTAAAAACCACCAGTAAACCTGATAATGACCTTGACCAAAAGAGATCTCAAGAAGATGGAATTGCACGAATGGATCAGGATAGCGGGAAACAGAAGCAAAGCGATCTCAAGTCAGCCAGAAAACATGACAGGAAAGACTTATCCATGACTGACCTATAACGTTATATGGCACAAAATAATTAAAGACCATTCATAAACGTGATGCTCTTTTTTTGCGCGCTATTACTGTTTAATGGCATCATGTTTTGGGAAAACTGAAATTGTTTGGTGGACATCGATCACTTCCTGTTTTTTTTTCCGGGAATAATTCTTTACAAATTGAGCACTGATTGTAACACAAGTACTGTGTTAAATAATAAGTAATAAGAAAAATATCTTGGAGACTCCCATCCCTATAAAACATCCCATAAAATGCAGGATGGAGACTCTAACATGAAAATACAAATGTCCAAAGGTACTATACAAACATTTGATTAAATAATTATAATGAATGAATAATTTGTTTAGAGAAAACTAGGCTGGATCAAAAATGCACAGCTTTACGATATACGTAGCGGTATGGTACGCCTTGCTTTTTGATACATTTTGACAGAGAAAACAGACATAAAAGCATACCGAACCATACCGTACCACTCAGTGGAAATGAGGCATTAAACTAACAATATAACTAAAGTAGCAGATCTTTTCTTTCACACTGTGACGTTTAGCAGACCATTGATACACCTTATAACAAATCTAGAGATCAGTGCATGTGAAAGTTTATCATTTGCACACTTTTAACTTTAAAGCATTCAGACACAAGAAATGCCATGTGTCGCTCAAAAGATTAAATTTATTTTATTGTCTGTAACTGAATAATATTAGACACTTCAGAAAAAAACAAAGCACTGTTTAATTAATTCATGCCTTTGTTCTTGTAATTTGTTTATATTTTATACAGATGCACTTCCTTGAAAAAAAATGAAAATAAACAATCCACCCAATTAATCAATTAATAAAAAAAAAAAGGTTTTAATTCAAAATACCTATTCTGAAAAGTTGCAATATCTGTAACAATTGGAAATAATATTAATAACAAATACAGAATTTTTTCCACTTTTGTGCATCAGAATTGTGTGTGTTAACTGTAGTATGGCACCTGTGGCATCAGGGGTTTCAGCAAAAGGTGTGCCGAGACTGGCTCCGCCCCCACCAAGCAGCCGACTATCTGATTCGTCCAGAGGGGCGCGGGGCGGTAATTCAGGAGGTAGAGGCTCCAGCTGTGGAGAACCACCAACTCCACCATAGCACACTACAGAGAAAACATTGATAAGTGCTACATCACAATCTGTTGTTCTTGCTGAAAACTAGTACTTACTCTACGGACACATTAAAAATGTCCTAACTCAGGGTCAGAGACTTTTAAGGGCGACCTATTATACAAAAATATCACTTTTATAAGGGGTTTAAACATAGTTGTTTGGCAACAGTTTGTGAACATAAACAGTTTCTAATGGTAAAAATGTAAAAATTTTATTTTTTATAATCACAGTGGATAAAAACAGTCTGCAGAAACACTTTGATTGACATTCTCCCTTTGTTGGTGTCATCAGAGGGGGAAAGCCCTGACCATTAATGACAATCTCTCCCTCATTAGCATGGGATGTTCGTCTTTTTTTAAAATCTGCCACTATGCTGACACACAGGCATTTGTAGCTCCACCCTCTTTTGAAAAAGAGTACAATCTCATTTGAATTTAAAGCGACAGTCCCCAAAATGGCACAATGTGGATCAAAGCCTAAAGGGACAGATTTAAAGAGTTATAAAACATTATTTGTGTTGTATTTTGAGCATCAGACTTATTTTATATCTTGTAAAAAGAGGCATAATAGGTCCCCTTTAAACCTTCTGTTAATCACAGAACTGCTGTGGTCTTGTTTTAGCACTGGCAAACATCATGTAAGCTGATGTCCCATTACACATACTGTCCTGAATGCCGCTGACCACATCACAGTGACATCATCTCTGTAAGGCTTACCTTGAGACAGGCGGTCGCTGAATTCCGGCGTACCGCTGAGGTCAGTCAGAGCACTCCCACATACCCCATCAACATCCTCTTGCTCACTGGAAGAGTCAACGGGTACATTTCAGATCATGTTATACAAGCACGCACAACTAACTACTAAGAATGATCTCATTATTATAACCTTTTCACGTTCCTGCACTTTCTAATTATACGAAAAAACATGAAAACCTACCTCAAACAGATAGCGTTTCTGATGTCGCTGAGCCACGCTCTCATCTGAACCGCATCTCTGGTCTCAATCACGTACTGCACCTGACCTTCCATCTGAGGAAAAACACAGAGACATCAGATGTGCAGACATTCAATTCAAATTCTTTTGTGCAGTGTAGGGCTGCACGGTATTGGACAAAATCTAATATTGCAATGTTTAGTTTGTCTACTATATGTCGCAATATAAATATAATTTCACAAAATCACTGATAACTCTATTTGGAATGAATTCGTATGTTTACATTTAATGGGAATATTTTGTAGAGGAGTATCTGGACACAGTGCAATACAAATGAACACATACAAATTATTCGTATGGTTTTCTGTGAAACCTAACAGTATTGAGGTACAGAAATTCAATATTATTATATACAATGATAAATCAAATAACACTGTACATTATATAGTTGTCATTGTAGACATAATAACATACAATTGGTTTATACACCTTTAAAACCTCTCGGTTTAAGTTTGTTTAAATCTTACTGTGGCAAGTAAGTCCGGGCTAAGAGCCGTGAGGGTGTACGAGGCAGGTGGCGTGAGTGAGATAATCAGACACACCTGAATGCATCACCTGCCTCGAGTCTTACAGAGGAGGCTTGGAAGCTAAAAGGAGGAGAGATGCCAGTTCTAGATGAGAAAGGACCGGGTCCAGACATATTATGCGACTGTGGCTTTCCGTTTGATGGCAGTCTCGTGAGGAGCTGCCGTGCGTTTGTTTTGTTTAATTTGTTATTAAATTATTTCAAAGTGATTCGAGTCTCCGCCTCCGTGGTGGTCGTTAACAAAAGATACACTCTGTCAGTTTAAAACTAGATTAAAAACACATCTTTTTGTATTATACACATAAAAATGCTGTTGAAATCCAAATCACCTAAGGCAGGGGTGTCAAACTCAATTCCTGGAGGGCCAAAGCCCTGCACAGTTCAGTTCCAACCCTGCTCCAACACACTTACCTGTAGGTTTCAAACAAGCCTGAAGGAATCAATTAGTTTGATCAGGTGTGTTTAATTAGGGTTGGAACTAAACTGTGCAGAGCTGCGGCCCTTTTGGAACTGAGTTTGACACCTGTGACCTAAGGGATTGTTAATCTGCATTATTTAGGGCAACCGGAGCCGGGAACACTTCCCTAAAGACATTATAATTTGAACGGAATCTGCGCTTATGTTTGTCTTTTTTATTATTCCCAAGGTTTCCATAACCAGGACCGGGCCGTATCCTGAGCAGCAGCTGTGGTGGTTATGGAGGAGTGGAGAGCATGAGACTGATCCTTGTAGGACCCCAGTGACAACCGAGTCCTCACATTGATCCTGCAGGGACAGCCTGTACACCAGTCAGTGCCCTCTCCCACCTGCAGCTTCTCCAGCCTCCGGTGCCTAGACTGCAGCTCTGCACAAGACATTTGGCCACAGGAGAAATAGTCGTGCCCAACTGAGCCTGGTTTCTCTCAATGTTTAATTCTTCGTTTTCACCAGTTGGTGAAGTTTTTTCCTCGCCGCTGTCGTCACTGGCTTACATGGTTCAGGACCTGTAGAGCTGCGCATTGATGGATTTGCTCTTCAGTGTTTGAACTCTTAGCAGTGAATATTAAACTACACTGAACTGAGCTAAAGTGAACTTCAACACTGAAAACTGGACTGACACGGTTTCAATTGACTATAATCTTCTATGTGAAGCTGCTTTGACACGATCCACGTGGTAAAAGCGCTATACAAATATTGATGAACTGAATTAAACATTATTACAGTGGTGCAAAAACCTGGGAGAAGGAGGGACTTGTTGTCTGCATGCCCTTGCTGCAGAGAGGGAGAGCGAGATAAGCGAGCAGGGGAGAAACACCTTCGTCTGTCCCAAGGTGCTGGGGTAGCTAGAAGCAGCAATGAAGAGGTCTGCCTGCTGCCGTCTCCTAGCATGGGTAGGAGCAGGGTACGTGGGACTCACCACCGGCAGGGAAAAGCTGTGAGAGCCATCCCAAGAGAAGGCTGGGGAAATCACAGATGTCTGCTGAGAGCCAAAGCCTACTACGGTCAACCGATTCGGGAGCGGAGCAGGAAGGAAAAAAAAATCTGCTAGCTGGAAGAGCCACCGACGGTCACCAGAAGACGATCGGGTGGGGAGATTCCTTTATAAGGCTCCCGACACGTCGTCGTCGAATCCCTCATTCGGTTGAGGACCGACCAGGTTTGGAGAACCGAACCCCAATTTTTTTCCCTCTCTCAGTCTCTCCTCGGCTTTTCAGCTTCTTTCGCTTGGCCCTATTTATTCTCAGGTTTCGCTGTTCCTAAAGCATGAGCCCAGGAGAGGTGGGGCTGAGAGCCATGAGAACGTACGAGGCGGGTGGTGCGAGTGAGATAATTAGAGACAGCTGGACGCATCACCTGCCTCGAGTCTCACCGAGGAGCCCTGGAAGTTAAAAGGAGAGACGCTAGTGCTAGATGAGAGAGGACCGGGCCCGGACATATTATGTGACTGTTGCTTTCAGTTTTACAGAAATCTCGTGACGAGCTCCCATGCGTTTGTTTTGTTTAATTAGCTATTAAATAATTTTAAAGTGCTTCGGTTCTGCTCCTCCTCCTTCCCGGCGGCCAGGTAGCCATTAACATTATTACAGTGGTGCCGAAACCCGGGAGAAGGAGAAACACATTGTCTGGATGCCATCGCTGCCTAGAGGAAGAGCGAGTGTTTGGGAGTTCACTGAGCAGAGGAGAAACCTGTTCGTCTGCCCCAAGGTGCTGGGATGGTTAGAAGCGGCGATGAAAAGGTCTGCCTGCTGCCGTCTCCCAGCATGGGGAGGAGCAGGAGACATTGGGACTGACCACCGAAACAGTTCCATGTGCTACAAATGACATTTAATGTTTTTTTTTTACTTTATTATAAACATAATCTGTTTATTTTGAATTCATCGGTCTAACAAATACAGATGTTTTACAAACTTTGTCCAATCTCCATAGTGAATTTTATTTATGACGTCAAGTTTGTGTTAAAACATGTGATGTTGCAGGTCACAGTGGTAAAATAATTGCATAGTAAGTTTAGATTAAGGCCCCGTTTACACAAATATGTTTTCGTTTTAAAATGCATATGGTTTTGCTACGTAACGCCCTCCGTCCACTCTACCCAGGAGTTTTCGAGTGTTGAAAACTAAGCATTTTGGAAACGCTGAAGAGGCCATTTTCATTTTAACACTGCTGCTCCATGTCAGTGTGAATGGGAGAAAATGGAGACATCTAAAAACAGAGACATTTAAAAAAATCTGATTGGGGCTTTGCCCTCAATATTAAATGCACAAAGTTTAGTCTTGAATTCTTTCCTTAAGTTCAGACTTCGCAAGTTTGATATGGAAAACAAATTCATGTTTAGTGTAGTTTTACAGTGTAGTTTCTGACCTCATTCACATCACCCTGGCTACGTTGTTTCACTATCTTAACGATAAATTAAAACATGATATGAGGAACTGCCTATATTCATTGTGATATTAAGTTAATAGACACTAAATGTTGAGGCATCATGTTTTATCTGACATATTTATATGACGGTCATCTTCACTGCATGCATTTTTATAACACAACAGAGCATATATATCAGTTTTAATAATCAATAATGGCCATAATAAAAGTATAACGTACAACAAGTTTATACAATATAGAAAATAAAAGCAAGCAATCAGTCAAATGTGCAGAATCAGTGTATGTGGTTATATTAATATATTAACTTATCTTTGCGAACTAGTAATATATTCAAAAGACCAAAGAGTCGTTAGATAGAGACAAGATGAATTAAATATCACATTTAACAACTATAGAGAGACAAAATCCAGCTTAAGATCCTTGGTGAACCGTCCAACCAGCGCTTTTTTCATCTGGGGTGGTGCCCGCAGAGCTCCCGCTGACTGCCTGGAGCTCATGCGCGCGCATACGCTGAGTGTGTGTGGTCACATGATGTGCGCTTTCAACAGTGTAGTGTGGACGGAGAGCTGTTCAGAAACGCTAGATGAAACGCCAGTGTGGACGTGGATCGTTTTCATTGCAAAACGCTGTTTTAAAACTAAAACGTATTAGTGTAAATGGGGCCTAAGTTACATTGTATTATAAATACATCAGCATAAAGGAATAGTTTGCCCAAAACTGTAAACATTGTTAATCTTTTACTCACTTGACTTTGTTTCTTCTGTTAAACATAAATTTGAAAAGTCAGAAACATGTAGCCATTGACTTCCATAGTAATTGTTTTTTCTGCTATGGATGTTAGTAGTCACAGGTTTTCAGCTTTCTTCAAAATATCTTCTTTTGTGTTTAACAGAAAAGCTTTGGAACCACTTGAGGGTGAGTAAATTGGTGTCTTTGGGAGACCTATTGCTTTAATCTTCAAAATAAAGGCATGCAGATGTACCTGTAGAAGGAAGGTGTTCTCCTTGTCTGGCACCTCAATGGCTGTAGTGCTCCTCACGTCAACAATAGAGCAGCATGGGACAGTCAGTCTGGGCTTGGAGGACTGTATTTACACAATAAAGAAAAATAATTAATATTACATTTTTTAGATTTTACATTTAACTTAAATTAAGCTTTTTTATTATATTTATTTAATTTATAATCAATTGTAGTTATACTAATAATAACAACAATAGGAATATTTGTCATACACAAGCTACTGTTTAAAAGTATGTGGCCAGAAGGATTTTTAGGCAGGATTTTTCTGCTCTGTGATTGGTCAGCTTGGTAGCATTGACAAGTGTGGGTGGCGCGGAGAGGGCAAAAAAATAAAATAAATAAATAACATAATTATTCATTAATCGTAATTGAGTTAAAATGTTCAACTAATCTAGATTTAGATTTTAGGCCAAATCACCCAGCCCTAGATAATAATAATAATAAATATTTCCTGAGCAACTGAAACTTAAAAAAGACTTTTGTTAATTGTTTTCACCATTTTAAAATATATTAAAACATAAATGATTGAAGCAATTATTTTAAATAAAAGTTAAATTTTACAATCTGTGAAAGTATTTAATACTGTTTCCGGGTCCAAGCTGCTACTCATCTGAATTGAGAAAATATTCATGTATGACCAGTTTTTAGTCCTATCGCACATTAAAGTGAATTTTACATACAATCATGGTGTACACAACAGTCTCGAGATTTGCTGCACCTTAAACACCAAGACTTTAACAATAAAAAAAAAAAATCACTTTCTGGCCATCTGATATTAAGCAAAGATATTTACATTGCAATCGTGATTTTCGAAAGCAATACATGGCTTTATAAAGGTTTATTATTTCCATTTGTTGAGTCTCCCTATATAGTTTGATAAAGCACTTAGATCTGGAAGCTAATTTGTGTGATGTCACGCTTAACAAGTGGATTGTTGCTCTTTTAAAAAAATATATGAATTTCCGTGAAAAACAAATATCAACAGGTGATCATAAAAGACTTCTTTCAAACAAAATAAAACACATTACCAAAAAAATAAAAACACCCTACGAATCTACGATATCATATTTTAAACTGTAGTAGTTGATGTGTAATGTAGCTGTGCGAACATAAACAACATCTCTGAATGTAATACGCTCAAAGTTCAATGCAAAGGGAGACATTGGTTTTTACAGAGTTAGCTTAGCAAAGCCTTCAGCGAACGAAGTTTGGGGACTACAAAAATACATCCAAGCAAGTGAGATCACAAGGGCTTCCGGTTACGTGCATTCACCACACGCACACACCCTGTGAAGGGGCGTGGCTAGAGCTGCTTTTTCTACAGAGCTTGTTCTGTTTCTGTATTTGGGCTTCCAAAGGACACGACACAAAGAGAGAAGTGATTACAGTCTAATGTTAATTATGTTCCAGAGAACTATAAAAAAAGATATAGCTTGCATTTGACAAAAGTGAGCTTTCAGAATCTCTCTCAGTTCGGTGCTGGATTCGGCTAAAAATTCCTCCAACAGACGAAGCTGTGGATTGTGAGCCACAACCTGTACGTGTTTTTATTTGTTAAAATTGGTCTATTACATGCACAGTTTCTAGCATTAATGGTATGTTGTAGTGAGGACAAAGACGTAAACAATGGGAAATGCTGTTTGGCACCGCTAACAATTTAGCTACAAATTCATATTTATCAGTCAAACTGATGTAAACACTCACAATCTTCAGCAGCTCTGCAGTGTCTCTCTATACGGCCGCTTACCCGGCATTCTACATCTCAAATAACAAACTCGCAAAAGATAAGTGAACGTTTCATATTACTGACACATGCTTATAACCCGAAACGGTTTCAATTGACTACGATTTACTATCTACTACTATGTGAAGCTGCTTTGACAAAATCTACATTGTAAAAGCGCTATACAAATAAAGCTGAATTGAATTGAATATATATTAAAGACACTTGTCAGGTTTGATTTAGTGCAGGCGCGAGGTTTAGCTGTGTGCTCTTATTTTTTTCTGTCTGATTTAGGCAGCCAACGCTGCCAACAGCTACTCTCACTGTCAATGTTTACTCTGTTGTTTGTCCTGGTGACATTGAGTCAATCCGCGAATCACAGCACATTATGTTAGCTGACCAATCAGAGTCTCTTAAGGGCGGACCTTTCAGGAACTAGGAAATCTGACAGTCATTCTCATGTTAGCAGAGAAGCTATATATAATCAAAGCAAGATATATGAAAAAAAAAAAGTATTTCTACAAGTGCAGCGTGAGCACACGTTGCTTGGCATCTTATAAACACAACCAAGCCTTTAAAAAAATACACTGTGGACCACCCCTTTAAGCAATATTTTTGATTGTCGACAGAACAAACCTTCATTATACAATGATTTGTCTAATTACCCAAACTTGCCAAAATAACCTTATTAACATAGTGAAGCCTTTAAATTGCACTTAAAGCTAAAAACTATATCTAGAAATGATAAATAAATATCTAGTAATATATTATGTACTCTCACCATGGCAAAGATAAAAGAAATCAGTTATTAAAACAGTTATTAAAACTATTGTTTAGAAATGTGTTGAAAAAAATCTTTCTATTTTGCAGAAATTGAAAAACAAATTAATTATAATAACTCAGGTAAATAATTTTGACTTCGACTGTATGTAAAACTTAACTAGTTAAGCTCTGGGGCTATTTGGGGTAATTCCGCCTGAATTTGGCCTTCCGAATTAAAAAGCTTCCCATACCCACATGCAGTGGTGTAAATACAAAGGTTTGGTATCATTTGAAAGGAAACCCTTTGAAATTTCATACAATAGAGTTGAAATTGAAAACAATTGTTGTATATATTGTCTGTGTTATAATAAACACACAAAAAAGGCGCTTTTTTTATAAATTGAAGTTTGGAAATGTGGAAATCAGTATTGGAGAGTTGCAGCACCCTGGAAACAGTTTTATTTCTTTCCAGCAGGTGTCAGCAAACACCTTTTTTCTTTATAATAATTTATATGAGAATAATTCTATTCCAACTGCAAGGAGGAAAAATGCCATTTATTTTTATTTCCGCCTAACTATTTTTGAAGTCTCCCCATACCATCATACATTATAATAAATGCAATATCTCATTGTCATTTAACAGAAAACCCTTTGAAATTACAAAAAGAACTGCTGAAAGTGATAAATATCATTATGTATGTTGTCTGTCCTATGATGAACCACCTCAACACAAACCGCTTTTAGTTTTTTTTGTCCTAAAGCCTGATTTAGAAAGTGTATAACTCTGTAAGCTCCATCAAACTGCAGATTGCTTTGATTGTTACCAGCATTTGTCAGGAGACACTAGAAAAAAGAATTTTGTTTTTATCATGTAGTATGCATTAATTATGTCAGTTCAACCGAAGGGTAGGAAATCACAACGTTTTTGCTTCTGATCTGTGACTTTTACACATTCTGTTTTGCAAACCTCTCTTCCTGTTTGTCATGCGATATCTCAGTCACTGATTGGCTGATCAAGGTTCGCGATACATCAGCGTAAAGATGATAATCTCACCTTTCCAGTGATATGTAATCCATCAAGCTACCATATTTTCCCGAATTTTGGAATATCATGACCCTATTTTGTTGCGTTTCGCACTTACAAGACACAGCAGGGGTTTACTGATGCACACTTCCTCAGAAAACACTGAAAATGGACTCATTTTGCAGAGGACAACCTAAGGTAAAAGATGATGTAGCTTGTTTGGCTATCTGTGCTAGCTCCGGCAGCTCACGGAGTAAATGATCAATAATTTCCCTTGTATGTTTACAAAAAACGAGTTCATACTTTATGATTCATTCGAAGACTGTTGGATATGTGATTGTAAATCAATAAAAATAACAATGGATCCTTATTATTGGGAATGGGAGCTTTAATTTGATGTATTACTTGCCATTGTGTGTCTAATATTAGCGATGTGAAAAATATGCATACTGAACAAAGTACATAATCGGGAGGGTTGAGATACTATACATCGAGTCTAAATTAAGTGTTAATAACTTTGTTACAGTACAACAAATATCAAAGTGATGTATATCAGTTGAAAATACACATTCTAAGCTTTCACTCAGTAGGCCATATGGTTTTATTGATGCAGATAGACCTCTTAAATCTATTGTTATTCTCCCGATGATGTAATTTTGCCCCTTGTACCGGGCACGCAGAGTTTAAGTGGTTAAATGTATATATTTTACATGTAGAGGCCAAAAAGTTTCACCAACCTTCGGCGGGATGTAAAACTCCAGGAAATATTCCAACCCTCCATCCCCTCCATCCTTATCTCGTTCTTTCAGAACTAGACGGCACTTGTGCCAACGCGTACCCCGTCCACCCACAGCGCCACCTATGGCTGTGGGATGTCCAGACACAGAGCTGTCTGCGCCGTGATGCAGCAGTCCAAAGGAAAAGCCTGGGAACCCGTGAGTGCTGGCGAACTCATCCGAAGATGAGCACACGGTCACTCCTCCCTCCCGCACCAGCCTGCCCATCTTCCTGGAGGCGTTGATGCTGCTTGGTGGGAGCGATGAAGGGGATAAAACCGAAGATGGAGGAGCTGCGCTGGACAGATTTGGCGGAGGAGAGCGAGACAGTCGTAGTTTTTCCAACCGGTGACTCCATTTCTCCTTCTCGCCATCTCCGTTGCTCCTTCGCCAGTCGCGGGCCTCAGAGAGCGAAAGAGAAGTGGCGCTGCTGGAGGATGAAGGGGGCAGTGAAGAGGACGAGGAGTGAGGAAGGGAAAGGGGAAGAGAGAGAGACACCGGGAGAGAAGAGGGAACCCCTTGCGAGCCGGAGTTCCTCTTGCCATCCTGCAGGCCAGTAGTGTAGCTGTAGCTGGAGGGAAGAGGGCTGGAGTTGCTGCAGTTCTGCGGGGAGTCGCTGGAGGAGCTGCGCCAATGCAAGATGCCCCTCACACTACCCCTGACACTCCGTCCCACACTGCGCAAAGAGAAACGCTTCTTTAACTTGTTCTTGGAGTGACCTCCAATAGGCGTCCCGTTGCCTTTCGAGTTTGCTGGTGCACTGGAGGGATTGAGGGTGAGGTCGGCTCTTTCTAAATCCTCGCCCTCATTGTCCCTACCTATGATGTCGGTCTCTACCTCCTCCAGAGTTACAGGTCCTGCCCAGCTATCTTCCTCTTCCTCTAGGTCTTTATATCCTGAAGGATTGTGTTTGAGGGCCATTCCCCTCTCCTCTCTGCGCCCGTTATTTCCACCCATAGAGGACGAGCAAGACGACGAGGAGGACGGTGGGAGAATCTGCGCGTGAGCGTACGAGTCCTGAAAGCCTCCAGAGTTCTGGAATCGTTCTGTACCACGGCTTTCCTGGGTCAGGATAGGTTTGGGAGTGGCCCGTGTGTGAATAGGTGGGCATGAGGCTGCTGCGGATTCCGCCGTTAGCAAAGACGGAGATGCTGCATCCTCCTCTAACGAGGTAACATCCGATTGGGCGACCCAATTCACCGTACCTTCCCTACTGATACCAGTTACTTCAAGCTCGCTCTCAAAATGCCGAACAAATCTGTCTGTAAAGCGACGGCAAAAAAGAGCTGCCGAATCAGGGGAGTAATTTGGGTTCTCCTGAAGGAAGGCCCGGAAATGTCGAGCAAAATCCCCGGCGGCTACCCGGGCATGGAGCTCACAGAACTCGGTCCAGCTGAGGCAGGGAGATGGCGATGGTGTGGGTGTGTCGGATAACGAAGACAAGGGTTGACCTACAGGAGTCGGAGGAGGCAAAGGCGGAGGTCTGGTGGACAAGGGCAACAGCGATGGAGACGGAGGAGAGGGCGATGGAGAAGGGGATGGCGGAAGGGGAGATGAATTAGCCGCAGCCCGTGGACTCGGTGGAGTTAATAAGGAGCCGTTCATGACTGACTAATCAATCTCAGACCAACCGATCATCAAAGACGTCAGGATGGCTGCGATTAGGTGTGTATGGGGGGCACGCAATCTGTTCATCAGGCTACGGTTTTATGATAGACTCCAATTCTGAAAACCTGACCAAAAATATGTGGCCTGATAAAAATGGCCAGGAATCGTCTTCCCCCATTTAAAGAAAAAGACTTGGCTCTGTATTCGTCTAAAGTACTTCACATTCTATACACAATAATGTGTGTATGTAGGAGCAAAACTAAAAGATGTCAGGAGCAGCAGGCTAAGCTGATGATGGTAGTTTTCAGGTGGTCTCTGGTTTACGGTTCGGAGAGGATCCTACGCTTGGGATTTGTGACCTAAAAAAGAAGTAAAGAGAAATTTTTAGATATGGATTTTAAAAACTGATATAACATTGCCATCATTTTTATCTAAAAATAATAACTATACCATCTAAATGAAACAAACTATTTCAAAGCAAATATTTTTATTTTCTTAAACACAATATCATAGCTAGGTCACCCATTTTTTTATTCTGACATTTTACTCATTCTAATGATGTTACAAATCTTTTTGAGGAGATAGATGACAACTTTCCTAGTGTGAAAAAAAGACGCAATGAATGTGGATATAGACACAGGCTTTTTGCCGTTTGTGCTCCACAATACAACATAAAAATTAAGGATGTCCAGATACGATCACGTGATAGGAAATTGGGCCTGATCACACAAGTTCAGACTCTGATCAGAATCAGACACAACCTCCCGACCAGGACTGGAATATATATATATATATATATATATATATATATATATATATAATTATTTTTTAACACATCACTTTGTTGCAAAGAGGCTATTGGTTAAATGACAAATGAATGGTCAAATGACGGCAAAGAACACAAAAGCAGCATGAAGCGGAAAGAGTGAGTATGTCTGCGATCTGGAGGTATTATAAAGTTGATGATGACAACATTGCCATAGCAAACTGTGACGTATGTAAACTTGGGATTGCCTGTCGGGTATTTTAAGTTGAGGTGCTATTTGTTTTTATATTAGATTTTTAAATTATAATTACTGTTGCACTGAAGTCCAAAAGTGAAGATTTAATACTATTTATTACCTAATTGTTCAAGCTATTTCACAGAAGTGCTCTGTTTGTTAACAGAGTTGTTGAATGTTAAAATAAGGTGAATTAAATAAAACATAAGAAATATCCTGGATCTGTTTTTTCGCTCTTCTTTTCTCTTTTTGTATGTATTATTGAAGTATCTGCTCGGGTATCGGTAGATACTCAAAATCAAATGACAGACTTGAGGACAAAAAAAACCTGATCAGGACATCTCTAAAAAAAATCATGTAGGGTTGCAAACATCATGAAAGCGAGAAATATATATTTTTTTCTCTAAACAACTATATTTTCATTTCCAATGCATATTTAAAATTAAAAATAACATACATGCTGTTAAATGTGACGTTTTGCCTGCATTTTGTTTTTTTTACATGTAACAAAAGTTTCCTATATGTTTACAGCATAGTATGAGGGTTTGAAAATTAAGGACATTTTACAATCTCTAAAAGGCATTTGATCAACTCTGACTATTATCAACCTGAGCACAAACTTTGGATGATCTTCCAGCTACGAAAATGTGACATTTACAAGCTATGTGTCATGCCTGAAGGAAGTAGAAGGATGCGTTGTTTTGCTTTCGAGCTGTGAGCCTCAATCCTCCACCTGATATCCGAAGAACGTGCTGAGCGCTAATATCTCATTTATTTTTATTACAGAACCACCTACAGCCAACAAACGGAGCATCTGTGAACATTTAAAGACGAATTCAAACCTAAACCCCGAATTGAAAACTGTTAAGACTATTTACATGATGCAGAAATGATGCTCACGAGCCCCTGCGATAACTCACCATTTTCAGGCCACGGTGTAACTCGAGGCCGGCGCAGTTGTTCGCTGTAAAGAAAACACACCACGCTTAAATGCCAGTCGGTGGTATTTACAACTAATAGAGGTTTAATAGAAAAATCACACAATGCTAAACACACTTCACTAGGCTAGCTGTCTGACATAAGTTTAATTGTCAAAACACGCTCTCACGCTGATAATGTCAACACACCGAGCTAACTCGGGCTAGCCTGCTAACTTTAGCGCATGAAAACACTGGCTAGTTATGCTAACGATCTTTTCGCAACGGGGAAAACAATGTCGCATTAACTCACCTTTTGTGCACATATGACGCGATTTGTTCGTTGGCCTTAGTGAAATCCAAAAAGGTTTCCGTGCAAACGTATTTTTGAGCTAGCCTGGTGCTAACAAGATAACACAGCACTGCTATTAAATTATCAAGTTTGAGCTGCTGGTCAGCTAGCTGGCTGTATTGCTAGGCAGGCAGTGTGTCTGCCAATGTTTACAATAATATTCATTCCTCTTCGTCTAGCTGTCCCCTGTTGATGCTAAACTTATTGATGAATCGTATCGTATCTATTTATTTATAAGGGCTTTGCGACTGCTCTTGTTGCAGGTATATGAATATTTCTCTGCCTGCTGTCCCAACCAGTCTCTCGCGATATAGTGGGAGAGGGTGTAGGTTGGGGGGACAGGGAGTGTTGGAGAAGGGGGATTTTCAATGGGAAAAAACACTGAGGGAGAGGGATGTGCAAATTTAGGAGGAGCCACATTGGACAGTTGTATGAAAAAGTAAAGCAGGGACATTGCTCAGACTCATGGTTGAGTCATATATAGAGGTTGTAACACATTGAACTTCAGATAGCTGCTTGATTATTTCAGTAAGAGATGAGGATATGATAAATGGGATCATGCACTACAAAATGGACTTCATATTTTTGGAAATTGGGATTATTAGACTATATGAGAGCTGAATACATAAGCTTTTCTTTGATGTATGGTTCCAGATTTGGCCAAGCTACAACTATTTAGACCAAAAAAATGTAAATTTTAAGAAAATGTGCCTTTAAATGTCTAAACGAAGTGCTTAGCAAGTATATTACTAATCAAAAATTAAGTTTTGATATGTTTACAGTATAATATGATGGTTAAAATAATTTAAATATTGGGAAAATTGCACTGGAGTCTAAATGAAGTGCTTAGCAATATATTACTAATCAAAGCATTGAGTTTTGATATATTTACAGTTTATTATGAGTAATTTGCCTTTAGCTGTCTAAATTAATTGCTTGTCAACGTATATTACTAATCAAACATTAAGTTTGGATTTATTCACAGTATAATATGAGTGTTAAAATAATTAAACATTGACAAAAATCCCCTTTAGCTTTCTAAAAGAAGTGTTAAGCAATATATATATATATATATATATATATATATACACACACACACACACACACACACACACACACAGTATATTACTAATCAAACATTAAGTTTTGATATACTTACAATAATGTGAGCGTTAAATTAAAATATTGAAAAAAATTGCATGTGGGCTTCTAAATGAAGTGTGATCTTGCAATTTATATTACTTATCCAAATGTAAGTTTTGATATATTTACAGTATAATATGGAAGTTAAAATAATTAAAATATTGAGGAAATTGCACTTGGGAGTTTAAATCAAATGCTTAGCAATATATATTAATAATTAGAAATTAAGATTAGATATATTTACAGTATAATTTGAGGTTTTAAAAATTTTATATCAAGAAAATTGCCTTTAGCTGTCTAAATGAAGTGCTTAGCAATGTATATTACTAATTAAACAGTAAGTTTTTATAGATTTACAGTATAATATTAGGGTAAAAATAATTAAAACATTGAGAAAATTGTCTTTAGCTGTATAAATGAAGTGCTTAGCACTGTAAAATACTAATACAAATTAAGTTTTGATATATTTACAGTAAAATACGAGCGTTAATAAATTACAATATTGAAAAAATTGCAATTTGGCATGTAAATGAAGTGCTTAGCAACATTTATTACTAATCATAAATTATGTTTTGATATGTTTACAGCATAATATGATAATAAAAAAGTGTTATTGAGAAAATTGCATTTGGGTCGTCTAAACGAAGTGCTTAGCAATGTATAATACTAATCAAGCATTAAGTTTTGATATAATTACAGTATAATATGAGGGTTAAAATATTTACAAAATTTAAAAAATGGAGTCTAAACGAATTGCTGAGCAATGTATATTAATAATCAAACTTCAAGTTTTGTTATATTTGCAGTATAATATGAGCGTTAATCAATGTAAATATTGAGAAAACATCACTTGGGCGTCTAAATGAAGTGCTTAGCAATATATATTACTAATCAAGCATTACGTTTTGATATATTTACAGTATAATACGAGGGTTAATAAATAAGGTATTAAGAAAATTGCACTTCGGTGTGTAAGTAAAGTGCTTCACAATATATATTACTATAATTAAGAATAAAGTTTTGATATTTTTACGGAATAATATGAGGGTTTAAAAAATAAATATTGTAAAACTTGCATTTAACTGTCTAAATAAAGTCCTTAGCACTATAAAATACTAATAAAAAATTAAGTTTTGATTTTCTTACAGTATAATATGAGGGTTAAAATAATTAAAATATGGAGAAAATTGCACTTAGCATTTTAAGTGAATTGCTTAGCAATATTTATTACTAATCAAAAATTAAGTTTTGATATATTTATAATAGGATATTTACAAATGTCTTCATGGAAACATGATCTTTATTTGATATTGTAATGAACATTGGCATAAAATAAAATAAAAAATGACAATTTTAACTCATAAAATGTATTTTTTGGATATTTAAATAAACCACAGCAACCTAGGACTGGTTTTGCGGTTTGTGTTCACAAGTAATATGTGCAAATCGTAAAGTAATGTAATTTGCAGTAAAACGCTTTACAAACGTTTGAGGGGGTCTCTCCTCATTAAATAATAATATTTCATAAATCACTGTGTAAATAAAGTAATTTTGATTTTAGTGAACTTATTTTGACATTCTGCTCCAGTCCATATGCTTACATCCTGTATTTTCAGAGTGTGTGGTTGTGTACTCATGTAAAATTCACAGGGAAATGTCAATGGGATGCTGGGTTTATTTTTGTTTACATCAAAGAGGTAAGGAATTTGAGCTCCAAAGAGCAATAAAGCACAAATAAACAATCATTAGACTTAAGTACGCCAGCTTGACTTTCTTCTCATGACACAGTAAACACTGCAGTGCCACAACAGAGAAGCACAAAAAATGTGAGTATACTGCTTTCCCACTAAATACCATGTTCTTATGTATGGTTTATAATGATAAGCAATTAATGCGTGAATCTGATCACGGTCTGAGCCAGAGGTTTTCAAACTGCGCTGGAAAATGTTTGGTTTAAAAAAAATGTTAAACAGTAAAAACAAATGCAAAAAAACAATTTATTTCACAAAAAGAGATTAGACAAAAAACCAAATAAACAAATAAACAGTTTGGTTTTACTCTTTGATATTTCGATTCAATAACTTTAATAATTTCAATCATTGCAAAATAATTTATTCAAAATAATTCAACAGAAGGGCAACACAGTGGCTCAGTGGTTAGAAGGTTGCTGGTTCGAGCCTCGGCTGGGTCAGTTGGCATTTCTGGATTTTACATGTTTTCCCCGGATTGGTGTGGGCTTCCTACGGGTGCTCATGGTTTCCCACACCGTTCAAAGTCCTGCGCTAAAAGTGAATTTAATAAGCTAAATTGGCCGTAGTGCGTGTGTTTGAAGGAGAGTGTATAGATGTTTCCCAGTACTGGGTTGCAGCATCCGCTGTTTGAAACATATGCTGGATAAATTGACGGTTCATACCGCTGTGGGGACCCCTGATTATTAAAGGGACTAAGCTGAAGGAAAATTAATGAAAGAATGAATGAGTCAACAGATAAAATCAAATAAATATAAATTATTAAAATATTAAATATAAATTTAATTTAAAAATGTAACTTATTAAAATGTATTTTCCAAAAAAACATTTGACCCAAACATTTGTCACTAGCATATAGGTATAATTGTTAAGTACTACAATTACTATTTGGAGAGAAAAAAAAATGTATACATATATATATATATATATATATATATATATATAAAAGCATATTTTTAATAATTAACTTATTTGTTTAACTTTTATCACAATGCTGTATATTAATATTAACCAATCAAATACTTTTAAAAATAAATAAATCTAATTGATGAAAATCAAACAAAAACTGAATTTAAAAAACATATTTATATATATTTTTTAACAAACTGAATTTAAAATTGATGACTAATCAGACATAAATCATAACTATAGCTAAATTAATATGTACGGTAACAGAATATGTTAAAGTTTTAGACTAAGCCAAAAAAAAAAAAAAAAAAAATGAATGAATTAGGCCATTGTTGTTACCCATAAATTTTACCCATAAATTTCTACAAGAGAGGCTAGAAAAATTATGAATGTCTACATTATTATTATTATTATTATTTTTTTTTTATTATGTTAATGTATTTAATTATTCAAATGGACAAATTCTGACAGGAATGTTAAAATGTGTTATTTGCCTAATACAGCAATTAACTTTGCCTTAAAAAAAAAAAGTGGTATATGATGTGATACATTTGTATTTAAAAAAATAATACTTATACAAGTACTTATATACTTATACAATACTTATACTTATATAAGCTTTTTTTTAAAATAAATATTTCTTTATTCTAAATCTTTAGGAAATGTATTTGGTATATCAAAGTGTGATTATAATGACCACCCGACAAGCTAGTCCAGCTAAAAATAGTGTTTTAAATTTCACTAAAATATTTAAACCTTATGCTTAAATAGAAAACGAGGACAAAAGCTGCAAAAAGGTCTACTTTTTGAGAAAAAACCCCCACCTCTTTTCCCCAGGCTGGACACGGCCTGTAAGCATGACAAAGGATAATTTAGTGAAAACATTTATTATACATTTGAAAAAAATGTATATCTCGGAAAACCTTTGGGAAAATATACGAGGCAGCTATCTATCGTAAAAACATAAAAATCATTTTTTGTAGGAGGAGGAGTAATACACTTTTAAGTTCTCATTCATCAAAGAGTGAACCATATGTCTCATCAACTTGCATTTAGTGCCCTCTACCGATTATTGTTTAACAAAACAAGGTGTTCTACTTGCTCAAACCTATTTTATCCCATACAGTATGTTGATGTACAAACTATGCACATACCACATTATAGAACAAAATAACATTTGCTATATGTTATCTGCTCTTCTTGTAATGTTTCACATTGATGTTTGTTTTTCCACCAGTAACCTATATAATATATACGTGTTCCATAGTCATGTGCATGTATTACCATTCCAAGTCCTGGAATTGCTGAATTAATTGACTGACTGACTGACTGACTGACTGACTGACTGATTGATTGATTGATTGATTGATTGATTGATTGATTGCAGGATAGGAATAAACTCCACATGAGTATTTCAGAATGTGCTGATTTTTGTTTGTGCCAAAATATTTGAATATTGAGGGGAAAGTCCATTTTATTTTAATAGTTTGTATCAAAAAGTGAAACTTGTGTGTTATATTAGTACACCACACACATAGTGAAATATT